TCTTTAATGAGCGCTTTTGAGCCGAAAGTGGGATATCCTCTGTGATCCCAAAGCTCAGCTATCTTGTACTCTCGAGGGTTCCGCACTTTGTTTGATCGCGAGCGCTAACTTCAAATACGACCCCTCCCCCCTTGTGAATCCCACAATGATAATTTGGCCTATCCACCCAGTTCCCCGGCCTGATCGTCTTGTTGCAGAACATGGCTTCAAGGAAAAATAATACCAACCTTGTGATAAGAAATACTGCAAGTTTGGTAGTTGCCGAACAGGTGTTTGCATGTTGAGAAAGTCGTCGCCACCGGGTACACTGTAATTACGAACAAATGAGGATTACTTCGTAGCACCGAAAACTGTTAAAAGGTCAGTGATGCAGTAGTTACCTGGAAGACCTGCTGACGATGATTTCCACTTGAGATTCGTGCTTACTTGCTGATATAATCTCATAAACTTGATCAAATGTTGCGTTCTGTAGGGCTTGACCATTCCATTCCAAAACTTCGTCGCCTCAAAGTAATCGCTACAACTGATAAGAAATGTGGTAATTTTGTGCCAATAATTTCATATTTTCACTGATTTTAACTGAAACTCAATATTTCTTCTTTCCAAACCAGGCGGCAAACACCCTACTGATCAAATCGAACCCAACAACAATACTTCCAGCAAGCCTTCAATTGGTGGGCGCGGTTCGCAGTAGCTAATTGTAATTGGTTGCCGCAACCAAGGCACCAGTCACAAATGTGTGTCACATAAACAATAAAATACATATTCCAACCTGCTCTCAATCGACCGATAGTGTCCGCTACACTTCCTGGCTTTACTCGAGTGATAAAGGCCCCCAAACGGCCATTGTCACTTCGTCGACCGCCGACAACCTGAAATCATCATATTAATAATATATGAAAATATGTGCCAGTACAAAATGGAAAGCTGCAAATATCGAGAAAAGAAAATTTGCAAAGTGGAATGGGTGGGAACAAAGAAACCCAGTTGTAGCATCCTGCCTGCTTTCACTATTGGTGGAGAACAGAATGGCGTTGCGCCAAAACCAGCCCCTCTAGCACGCCCCAGCGTACTCAGCGAAGAAGACTGTATCTCAGTACGCAATGCACTACATACCCCTATAACGATTCAACAATAATTTGAAGAGTATTCATTACCTTAAGACCGAGATCCCCAGAAGCCGAATTATCAGTCTTGTGCAACACCATATGACCAATAAGACGACGTTGATCAGCTGACGGTTGCCATGTTACTGGATGCTGAAACTGGTCACAGTAATCAAATATAGCACAGCCTCTTCAATCAGTAGATACAATCATAGATACAATCCATAACTGGGCCTTGAAGTGGGAGTGTCCACGGGCTTCATTGCGTATATGTCACCTTACATGGACAGTATGCGATCAACAACGTGGACTGCACAAGAAAATGTCAGTGCACTGCTCACCCCTCTCTGGCTGAACTGGCAGCTGTCCACTACCTCCGCAGCCACAAGGAGAACCGTGGACACTCCACTCCAAATTCTGGTCATGGACTGTAATAAAAGTAAACTGCTGGTCTAATCTGTACCAAAATAAGGATCTCCGTCGAAGGATAGAAATAAATCTATCAAAACAGCAAAAAATGTATGAAGACCATAAGCAGTAAATCCACTGACAAGTACAGATAGATGAGAACTTTTTACTGAGAAATCTATTTGGATTTTAATAGATAATTTGCTCCTTTTCACTTTTTTGGACTGTGAATTGTCTATAAGT